GGGGGGGGGGGGGGGGGGGGGGGGGGGGGGGGGGGGGGGGGGGGGGGGGGGGGGGGGGGGGGGGGGGGGGGGGGGGGGGGGGGGGGGGGGGGGGGGTGAGGTGATTTTATTATATTACAGTTAAATATTTAATTTAATATAATAACTATGAAATGTAATTAATTAATTTAAGAAAAACCTGATTTTTGTAATTTTAAACTGTTGGGCCTGATTTTTAATTTTGGAATAGTAAACACCTGACCCATAAACTTTTCCCTTTAGTATATTAGAATATAAAGTCCACTAAGGCCCATTTCCGAATTTTAAAACATAAATACATGAATAACCCTAATTTTCTCCATTTATATCCCCAAACAATGAATTGAATTGTATATATATTTTGGAAGATGCTTATAAAATAGAGCTTCTCGCTATATTTTCGGCTACTCCACCCTTTTTATATAACATTCATTTGTGTTTAACAACATCTACCCAATGTTCAAGGATTCGTTCCTCGAACCATACCTCTCTATTTTATTGAAAAATTATGACAATTTAAAGATTGAAAAAATGAAAAATTTTACTCTCTAAATTTAAATATACTTTCAATTTTATGTAATATGCTCGTAAAATAAATGTCTGGGAGATGCTCTTAGGCACAATTTGTTTTGCCTCATATATTTAGACACTATAGTAAAAAACCTAAGAAAATAAATGAAAACTCATTTTTGAAACTTTATGTGCTGAAGTTTAAGATTTAAGCAGAAATTAGGATTAAAGCTGCAAAATAGTAAAACGAGGGCAGGACATGGTCCGATTCGATTCAATTCTGAAGAAAATTGAATCGAACCGAACCAAAATTTTCGAGTATTTAATAAATTGAACCGTCGGATCCAAATATAATTTTGGAACTGTTCGGGGTTCGATTCCATTCCATTCCGTTCGATTCCGTACCATAATTAAATTGGAACCGTCGGATCCAAATATAATTTTGGAACTGTTCGGGGTTCGATTCCGTTCCATTCCGTACCATAATTAAATTTTTTAACAGATTTTTAGTGATCAACGATCGGTGGTCGTGGTTGGAGGTCATGGCTTCGATGAGCATTGGAGAGGGGAAGTCGGACTCGACAGTCGGCGATTTCGATTTGGGTATGTAGATGTAGGTTTTCAATTTATGAAATGATTTGAGGTCATTGGCTCAATTGTTACTGAATGAAAGTGTGAAATTGAAAAGAGAATGATAAAAACTTAAAAATACCTAAATCTTGGGTTAAGAATGAAATTAATAATAAGACCAAAAAATTAAATCAAAAAAATTGAATTTAGAAATTGAGTTGGGTTGGGTTGGGTTGGGTTGGGCTGGGCTGGGCTGGTCTAGGCATGTACTTTGTTTGGGAATTAGAACATTAATCATTAAATTAGTTAATTTACTAATTTGTTTAGAAAAACTTTAAAAATTTAATTAATTTAGCCCCCGTTTGGCACCCATTTTTTTTTTCTCATTCTCATTCTCATTTTTTTCTCTTTCTTTATTTCAACCACACATTCTATCAATAAAATAATACTACACATAAACCCAGAAATTCTCCTTACTTTTTAACCACACAATCTTCCATCAATCATTATTCCAAAAATTATTTTTAATTTGAGTAGATTTTAAATGATTTTTATTCTATTATTTGTATGATTTCTTTAGCCAAAACCGAATTCAATCATCATTTATATTTCTCCCTAATTTTCATTATCGATATATTACTCTTGGTTGAGGGATCATATTAGGCCCCCGTTTGGCACCCATTTTTTTTCTCATTCTCATTCTCATTTTTTTCTCTTTCTTTATTTCAACCACACATTCTATCAATAAAATAATATTACACATAAACCTAAAAATTCTCCTTACTTTCTAACCACACATTCTTCCATCAATCACTATTCAAAAACACATTCTTTAAAAAAAAAGGGTGTCAAACACCCCCTTAATATAAAAAAATTAAAACAATTATTTAAATTCGATTCTTCGGTTCTGGGTCGAACCGAGAATCAAACCAAATTTGTAGATTTTCGATTCAGATATCCATTCGAGTATTTAACTTATGAAGAACCACTCAGTTCGGTTCAGTTCAGTTGGTTCGATTTGATTCGGTTCGGTTCAATCCAGTTAATGAGTTTTATCCAGCCTAACTAAAATAGAATTTTCCCCTAATATTTTTCCTTTCCTTATCCTTTAACCTAACCACCCACCGGACTGCCCTAGCATTCACAAATTTCACAATCGTCCTTTAATCCCCATTTGTTTTATAAATTTCAATTTCCGATTTTATTGCCCTTTCAAGAAAATATTATAGTAATCTTTCGCTGTCTGCGGGAGAATATGTATGATCATAGATTTCAGCGAACAGACCAATGGAAGCCGGTTTACTCCTGGCTAGAATCACTGGAGATGGACGAGGTAATCAAGTCCAAAGATGTTTTGGATTGGTTGACTGCAAACCCAGAAATCAGAGACCAGTTATATTCCAGGCACTCCCGGTACCATTTGTTTCATTATATCAAAAAATGCCATGTGAAAATCTTGAAGAGAAAAGAAAAGCAGGTATTTGTTAGTGTTAGTTTTGGTTATTAGAATTGTATGTTCGTCAGTTTTTGTGTTTCGAATTTATGACTTGTTTTGTGAAGTTTAGAGTGGATGGTTTTTTAAGAATTGATTTTTGAATGTGGGTTTATCAAATGAGTTTTGTGAAGGAAAATTGTTGCAAGAGCTTGGGTATTACTTACTCTTAAAACTGGTTTGTAAAGAGAGGTTCTTGGATAGAATATAAGTTACCTTTAAAATCTGGTTTGTAAAGGGATTGTGCTCAATGTGTATATTTATAAGCCCGCAAGATGGGGCTTACAAGAGG